CACCCTCATGAGCCAGGAAGGGAAAGAGACTGCACTCAGTGGCTTAGACCTGAGTATTTGGTTGGTTAATTTGCCAAGGATGCCAAAGATGCATCATTTTTCTGCAGATTTATTTTGAAACTCAAGAGTATTCACATGTAAAAGCGGCATGGTGGCCTAGTGGTGAAGACCCTCGCCTCCCGCTCAGAAGGTTGAGAGTTCAATCCTAGGTAGCAGCAGATGTCTCTCTCCTAGAGCAATCTATATAAATAAAAATGTAAATGTTCGTTTGTTCAAAATCTTAAATCTCCGAAGGTTCTTCACCGATTGCTTTGAAATTTTGACACAACGTTGCATTCGAATACGTGCGTGTTTTTATATACCTATATTATATAGATGTCACACCTGTGACAGGTAAAAACATGCTTTTTTGACAAGCATTGTGAAATTAAACATATTACAAACGTGCGCTTTCTCTTTTCTTTCTTTTCCATTTAACCAGACTGAGCCACAGCAACGCGTGGCCGGGTACAGCGAGTATATATATCTTGCCACAAAACTTTTTGGGAGCTTGGCCGTTTTTGCGCTCTGCTCATGGAGCAAGTTACCGGTCTGCCCGCCCCAATTGGCCATATTATTTCTAGCTGTCCCGCATCAGTCCATGTGTTCTTAAACTCAGGGATCATTTCCTCCCTTATGGTTGCTTTCCTTGTCTGCCTGGTTCGTGTCCGAGTGCCTGTTGCTGTGGGTTGGTTCCCTAACACCTCCTGTCCTATGGCCACCCCTCCTTTGGGCTGTGCCCTGTCCCCCCCCCTCCTTAGTTCCTGCACAGGATGCACTGGGGATTCCTTCCTTTCGGCAGTTGTAGTTCTTTGTCACACAGGCCAGCCGTTCAGATCCTGCATGGCCAGCGCTCGTTGCGTTGTTCCTCCCACTCCCTTAATGCCTGATAAGCAGGCAGTAGGTCTATGTGGCGACTGATCGACTGTCCGTCGGATAGCCAGGCCTCCTTAAGTAGTCGGCCGCCCTTGGTGGTATCCTGGGCAATGGTCTCTGCCCCCACAAGGTCGTATGGTTGCAGCTGGCCATATGTGCCCATAGCTGTGAACGATGGCCAGCTCATACTCGTGAATCCTGGTCCTGTGAAGCGGTACATAAGTGCTATTGCTAACTGCTATTGCTGTACTCACCATGACAGCCACCGAGACAGGTTCTGACGGAGGCACCGAACTTTGGTATGTCATCCTGTTATGCGGAGAGGCCTGGTCGTAAGAGGTGGAGGAGGAGGAGGAGGAGGAGGAGGCCGTTACAAGGCTAGTGCTC